CTCAGAACCAGCTTTCTATAGATTACTGCTGTTCTTCAGCACTACTGTAACTTGCAACAGTTGCGAGCCAGAGTCTACCCCCCTCTGCTAGGCCTCTCAGCAGACAGGCTAGATCACTGCTACTTCACTCAGCTTTGCCTCAGCCTTTTCCCGCCAAAACAGGTTGCCTCAGAGCTCCCTAATCTAGTCCCACCAATCTGAGGTTACACGTTCTTCTACTAGCGTACCTCCCCGTGAGGTAAGCCTAGAAGATTACCTACGCGCTCTCAGATTGTCCCTGACTAGACCCCCCTTGCTCTGGGCACACTTGCCAAGGCTTTGCTGGACCGCTGGACAACTGGACCAGTCGTATCCCACACGCTGGACACCAATCAATGTGGCAAACCCAGACCTACTGGGATCTGCCACACGTTAACTAAGCTGCCACCAACCATTCCCTATAAGAAGTCACACAGACCAGGGATGGATTTTCAAACAAATAAAAGAATAAGGTTTATTTAAATACAACACACAGGAAAATAAAATGATCAGGTGAATAAGATATAGTAACGTGGCTTAGTCTCATTCATACATGCACACAGTTTGGTTCACACAGAACCCTTAACTAGAAGCACAGACCCTGAACCTATCAGTTCTGGCTAACCAACAGACACCTGAACCTATCAGGTTGGTACTCTGACACACAGTAGTACCCTGTCTGACACACAGACTCCCACACCAGCTTCTTCTTCCCAGCTGCTGCTTCTTCACATCCCAGCGTCTCCACTTCTCCACACAGGCTTCACCTATATATACAGTACAGCCCCTCCTCCTGATGTCCCGCCTTCCACTCCCCATAGGATGGAACTTTCCCTCCAAACCTATGACAGACAGGTAACATCAGTGCTGTATGTAACACCTGTTACTTTCAGATTTGGAAAGTCCTTTAGCAGATCACATGGGCATTCGTACTCCTTTCTCATACCTCCCTTCAGCGATTCTCCTGGGATACTAAACTATCACTCCCCCTCTGCTTTTATATCCTCATCCCAGACTGGGAGCAGTAGCTCCTCCTCCTTCCCCTTCCCTTCTTCTACCAAATACACCTCCGTTTTAACCCTTCCTTCTCTCTTTACTCTGTTTTCATTTCTGTTAAGTTTTCTCTTAATTCTACAGGCTCACTTTCCCCTTTTGGAGGAGACTGCACACTCTCCTTTTCCAGTCCTCCTTCACAGGCTTCTTTTGACTTTAATATTTCCTCATAATACTTCTGAAGCACATGTGTTTTAGCATCTAGTAGCTTTCGAGCGGCTTGCTATTTATGCTGATCTACCATAATGATTGCTCTTCCCAAATGCAATCTTTGCATATATTTAGATTCTTAAGCGTCCAGTAACATTGAATAGCTGTAATTGATCTGGTGAATGTATTCTATGTTGAGTCACATTACTCCAATGCTTCAGAAGTGCCTCTGAAGGAGAGTATTCACAAAAGGCATATGAATTCATGAGTGTGCTCTGAGACCATACAAAGTAAAAGTTCAGGGTACCACACGTGCCAGTCTGATACTAACAGCAATCTGTAGTCTTGTCTTCCTTTCCTTGTCTGGTCAGGGCAACTGACGTTCTGTGGAGGGATGCTCTACCTGAGGTTACAGCTGTTCATTTTCTCAATTTCCCCCAAATGCCTTGGGATCAGGAGTCAGTGTGAACAAGATATAAAGAATTGGATTTTGATCCACAGAAGATCATGCCAAAATATTTTCTTTGCTCCCTTTAGTGTTGCCAGCAGTGTGATCCAGAAGTAGCCTGGGCCAATCCATATGTGTTGCAACTGTAGTGAAAAGAAAATGGGGGAAAATGTCTTCACAGTTTTTTTAAAAATTGCAAAAATGGCTGTATGAAAAATTTAAACTTATATATCCATTATGAGAATGGGCACAATATCACTGTCATGTGTTTCCATAACTGATGTATCTATTACTGCTCTTTTTACTTTTTTTTAGAAACATGTGAACATAGGTATCCTTTTACAAATGGTAAATTCATTTATAGTTCTTGGACCAAACCCTTCATCGAGGGTGACAAAATCACCTATTTTTGTAACAAAGGATATCGCTCTGCAACTGAGAATACAACAGTCACATGCACAAAAGCTGGCTGGTCACCGCCTCCAAGATGTGCCACTTTGGAGGGTAAGTTTGACTCCTGTTCTCCTATCTGATGATACCCAGCCTATGTCTCCTGACTTGTTATAGCTTCCATGTTTTACTTGGTTTTATGCCCAGAATAATAGGAAGCTATAATGATTTACCAGGAGAGGTGGCAGAGGAGGATCTCACAGTACTCCTCACTACTATACACACCATCTTTACATGAGAATTGATGCACTACTATGATATGTTTGCTGATCAGGCAGGTCTCTGTGTGTATGTTGCTGTGGATGTGTATGTGCTGGGAGTGTAAATGGTTTCTTCTCCCATCCTTGTATGGGATGACAAGTAACCACAACATTGTTCGGCTTGCCCCATGAGAGGGTGAGGCAGTTTGGGGTGTTCTCTACAAGAAGAGGATGATTTTGCAAGAGAGGATGCATAAGTTATGCACAAATAAGTAAAGAAAGCTTTCATGCAAGTGGCACTCAGCCATGATGACTTGTGTATTTTTGCATAATTTTTAAGGATTAAAAGCACTGGAAGATTTGTTCACAATTTCCCTCAACAATCAGCCAGTCATTTTCTCTCTGTGTGTGCCTTGTTCTTGTTTTTGTTTTGAATTTTTATTGACAATCCTCTCACATTACTTAGTGGCCATGTATTTCATGGCAACTGTAGCATAACAACACAACTTAAATTGTAATACAATCATCTTACTTACACAACATATTACCAACTTATGATCATCTATACACCCACTATTTTCATATTCTAACAGAATTATGCTCTAACTCATTTCTCATAATTCTCTGTTGTAAAAGATTACAGAATAACAATCCAAATTATTCCCCACAGCTTGTTCCTCTTTATTTGATTCAGTACCATATATTAATAAAGGTTGCCAGATTTCCATACATTTATAATGTTTTCTTTTCCCTCTCTATTTTCTGGCCTGATTGGTCAATTTTTCCATCAAAACCATTTGCCAAATTCTGTTCATAAATCTTTGTAACAAGAGATTTAGTTGTTTCTTCAACCTTGTTTGATTTCAGATCTTGCTGTTAATAAGATTGGCAATCAAATCTTTATAAAACATTTCCACATTTCCCCCAGAGAGTAATGAAAATAAAAAAAAAGGTTTCATATATGATTGTTCTTTGATTAGTCAGTGTTTCTGTCCAATTACTTATTTCATACCCATATGTTTCTATTTTGGGACAGGAAATCCACATATGTTCTAACATGCCCTTCGTTCCACAGTTTCTTCAACACATGTCTGGAGTTTCTCTATTAACTTTGTGTAGTTTTGTGGGATACAAATGTCATCTATGGAGTACCGTTAAAACCATTTCTTTCACTGTAGCTGATGTTGATTTGTATGGATGTTTGATCCATATTTCCATCCATATTTTCTCTGGTACATTAATATTTAAATTTGTTTCCCACACTGTTTAGAACCCATATCATTACCATATTCTTTTTCAACAATATATATATTAATGAGGTAATTCTTTTTATTTATTTATTTTTTCTTTTATTGCTATCTTTTTCTATGCTGTATTCTAATTCCATGAGGGGGCGGGGTTGTCTGTGTTTGGGAGGACATTTGGTGATATATTTACTTCTAGGCTTGTGGATTTTTAAGGCTTGCAAAGGTATGTTTGTTCGGACCTTTGTTCTCCCTGACCGCATGGTCTGAGGGGGCGGGGTTTTAGCTTTAAATGAGTGCTAGGAGAAGCTCTAAGCCCTTTTCCTGCAAAGGAAGCAGAGGCAGGAGGTGACTTGTGTTTGGGGGGATATTTTATTTGGTGAGATATTTTCTGGCTGATGCAAACACATGATGGTGGGAACATTTCAAGAACGCTGTTTATAACACCACCTTGTCCACATTTGGAAAGAAGACCAAAGAGACAGCAGACTGGCTCAAAGCCAATTTGGAGAAGTTGATACCAGCCATCGAGGAAAAGAGGAGAGCTCTATCAGCATACAAAGCCTTCCTAGTGAGTACAACATGCAGGCTCTTCGAGCTGCTCATAGCAAAGTCCAACAGGCTGCCAGGAGATGTTCCAAGGATTATTGGTTTTGGCTCTGCTCTCAGATACAGATAGCAGTGGACACAGGTAGCATCAAGGGAATGTATGGCAGTATCAAGTAGGCTTTAAGTCCAATACAGAAGAAATCTGCTTCTTTGAAGTCTGTTACAGGAGTGATCATTCAGGACTGAGCCCAGCAGATGGAACGCTGGGTGCAGCACTACTCTGAGATATATGCTAGAGAGAATGTAGTAACTTAAGGGGCATTAAATAACATTGAGTGCCTGCCTGTCTTGGAAGAGCTGGACAATGAAACAACTTTAGCAGAAATAAAAGCAGCCTTGGATTCCCTCGCCTCCAGCAAGGCACATGAGAAGGATAACATCCCTGTTGAAGTGCTGAAGTGCTGTAAAGAGATCACCACCACCGAGCAGTATGAAATCTTTTGTCTTTGCTGGAGGGAAGGTGGAGTACCACAGGACATGAAGAATGCAAACATCATCACATTATATAAAAATAAAGGAGTGGTGACTGCAATAACTACTATGGGATCTCTCTTCTAAGCATTGTAGGGAAGCTGCTTGCCCATGTTGTGCTGAAAAAACTCCAGGTGCTTGCAGAGAGTCTATCCAGAATCACAATGTG